TTACATAATACCGGACCGGTACCTGTGCGGGTACGAGTACGTGTACCAGCACTGGCACATACATGCTGCGGTGCTCTGACGATGCATTGCTCTGCTGCTCTAGCACGCTGGCACTATCTGGTACACTAGACTAGACAGGGTCAACCCCAATTGATCAAAAAAGGTACGGACCTGGCAGGGGCCCATATCGTCTTCACTGGCAGCAGTGCTTGTGATTCTGTCCACCACTGAAGGGTCACCGTGCCAGCATTGCGGTATCAGGCCAGGACCGGCTGGTGGTACTCTAGCACTCTGGTAGGAATCTAGTTCGCCAGTTTCTGTAGTAGTACTCCAGAAGATCTCGGATATCTGGGTAGCCTATCACTCTATGTAGCAACGTACTTTAGTTCTCCAATTCTACAAGTCTCCAGTACTCATGAAATCTATTCATCTAGTGTTCTAGAACTCAATTAGAACTCAAGTACTCTTGAATTCCAGCGCGCCAGTGTTGCTCCAGTACGTTACTACTCTCGCAGATCTCTGGTACAGTAGTGGTCTAAGATACGCCTGCAGTGCTCTAGTACTGCTCTAGTAGTACTCTCGTAGCTCTGTAGCACAGCAGTACTTGAACAATACTTTAATACTACTCGAATAGTACCCCAGCAGTACCCTACCAGTGTTCTGATAATGCTGTCGTGGTGTGCGGGTATCACTTCAGCAGTATGCCTGTGGTACTTGGGTAGTACTTCAATAGCACTCCCACAATATGCGTGTAGTACTTTGGTAAAAATCTAGTAGTAGATGCTGGTAATACTTTGATAGTACTCCAGTAGTTCTCTAGCAGTACTCCAGTGGAATTCTAGTACGACTTTGTCAGTACTCTAGAGTACTCTGGTAGTCTTCTAATGATACTGCAATGATACCATCGAAGTACTGTAGTAGCCGCTTGGTAGTTCTTAAGGGTACTAATAGTACTGGCCATCGTCGCCGTCGTAACAGTAATGGCTAGTGGCTAGGTAGGAGACAGAAGGTAACTAGTAGTTAGTACCTCGTAGCTAGTATTCGCAGCTAGTACACGGCAACTACGTACTATTTGCGGACTATTTGCAACTAATACTTAGTAATTGGTAGCAAACAACTAATTTAACTTATGTTTTTTTACTTTACTCAACACCGTAAACCAGACCCCAAACCCACGCGGGTCCCTGTCGCATCGCAACTCCTGCAGGCTTTGGCGATGAGATTTCAGGGTCCGGGGCTTCGGGAAGGGATTGACGATTCAGACTTCACAGTCAAGCATGAAATGCGGTCTTCGCATGTTTTGTTGCATTGAGGTGCTGCATTCGCGGTGGATCGTTAATGCGTCAGCCCCGCCGGGCGGAACATCGCCCGAATACGGGCTCTCCACCCGAGCTTTTTCGCGATGCAGCCAACAGATGATAGCTAAGCAGCCTAACTCAAATCGTCGAACCGAGTTAAGCTGAAGTCCGACCAAATCTCTGTGAAACATGCTTTTGCTGCACGCAGTTCAAGCAGAAAACATGCCCTAAGGATTTCTCAACTGGTGCAGTGAGTGCAGCTTATGCGTCACACAACGGTTGGACGCCACTCGTGTCAGTATGTGGACGGATATACTTGAACCTGTATCCTTTCTTGGAAATGCTCTAGTCATACACTAATAATTAGTATGCGACGAAAAAACCATAAAGATGCTGCGGCATTCGTGAAGAAGTGAATTATACAAACACTGTGTATGTATGATTCGATTACCATCTCAGCACATGATTACATTACGACATTGACAAGGTATCACCATCTTGCCATACCTCGTTCTTAGTACGGCAGTGCAACACCAGTGCGCATGGATAGTAGGCGGCTAACGCAGGGTAGGTCTCCTCCACTAGCAAAGAAAACCAAGGATGACTGCTTTCCTGTGTTGCTGCATGCATACTACGTTGCGGTACTAACCTGTCGACTGTTTATGACTCTTCGAATTCCTGGTACTGCATCGTTGCTATGTCAGACCTTATGTTATTTTAGACACTGCTGGCCTTGCACACCGGATGTAGTGGTGCTTATGTTTTCCAGTACGACATGCTCATGTCGTGATGCTGTGACACGGCACTAGTACAAGTCCGTTGTTTAGAGTGTTATCTACATGCTGTGCAGTTTATTCACGGTCATATGCTATCATGCTCCTCCAGCCGCTGCGTACTATAATTTGTCTATTCAGCCACTACAACCCTACCATGCCTACATCACTGCTGCCATTGCATTGCTTTTTAGCAAGAGTTGGTTCAACAGTATATACAGTGGCGATGTAGCTTTGCACTGCCATTATGCTATTACGTGATCACACCATCAACTCGCGTCACACTGTTTCCGTGCTTGGACAGGCACAGCGGTCTCGCATGATATGATAACCCAGTGCGTGCCTGAACTAGCACTCCCGCTTCCCTTACGTTACTCAATTGCTGCATCATTGCATTTTCAGATAACCCGATGGTTCCTCTAACTCTACAGGTCCTTACAGTGTTTGTCTCCCCAAGCACTGCTGCATTAATGACATTTTCTTCTCAAAATACTCTATCCCCCCTAAAGCCTGCTGACAATCCACGCGTAAACCATAACCAAACGCCCTGAACAACGGCCTGACTCCCACAGGCAGTCAGATGTCTCCAAACCCTCTTTCCCAAAAATTTTCTTCGAGGCAAATCGATTGAATCAGCCATTGATCTGCGCAGGGAGTTGTCACACACCACTCTAAACCCCAAACCCTAAACTCTACACACCAGTTGTTGCACAGAAGCCCTGACATGTTCGTCAAGAGATAAGGGCTGGTTAAGGCTGCAGCAGCTTCCTCTGCAGAGTATGACGTAGGGATTGAAGGTTTTCATTAGATAATATAGGGGCCATTATTATTAGAACAGGCCTCCTTTTAAGGATTCAATTTAAAGGGGTCTATAAGGTAGGGTTTTGGAATATAGTGTACTATAACTATAATGAGGAACCCCACAATAGTGTGGGTAATTACTAATGCCCCTATATTGCGCCCCGAAATTCCTAAACCTTAAAGACCAACAAACCTGTAACCCCTGAAGCCAACGAAACCGAAAGTCCGTCCACCCTATGCCGGCTAAAGTGGGTAAAGAATAACTGAAAACGTCCTATGCGAGATCACTGGAACCCAACACTACGAATCCATGGAAAAAACCGCCTAGTATATGATAAACACCCCAACCAACAAAGCACTGTTTGGGACCGCTTGAACATCCTACACCCCTGAACCCTACATCCCTCAACCCTAGATCTGAGCTCCTGCGGAAGATCCCCTAGGATCGAGCCATCCCGCTTCAGCATCTCAATGGCGAGCCTGGTTTTAGGGCTCAGGGTTAGGGTTTGGGGTTGAGGGTTCTGGGCTCAGGGCCAGAGTTTCCCTAAACCCTGAACCCTAAACCCTGAATCCTAAACCCTGAACCCTAAACCGCTTATTGCATGATTTCAAGTTCTGGGCTCAGGGCTGCATTAGATGGTGCGTTCGCGCCTGTGGGTCTATGTCCGCAAGGCAGTCTGCGAGAATGGCTTCTTTGTGGCCCTTTGGGACAAGACGGTACTTTTTCGGGAAATCGCCGTGAAAAATGAAACTGTCGCCTCGAACGGCATCGTCGCCGTCGTTGTGGATAAAAGCAAGCTTGGTGGACGGGCGTGGTGGTGGTGGTGGTGGTGGTGGTGGTGGTGGTGGTGGTGGTGGTGGTGGTGGTGGTGGTGGTGGTGGTGGTGGTGGTGGTGGTGGTGGTGGTGGTGGTGGTGGTGGTGGTGGTGGTGGTGGTGGTGGCGGCGGCGGCGGTTTCGGCATTGCAGTAGTAGTCGTCGTCGCCGTCGCCGTCGCCGTCGTCATCACCGTCAACGTCCGCAGCAAAAATGACACTACAGGCCGCATAAGAAAACAGCAACGGTTGTAGCAGCCACTGTCAGGCCCCACTGATGGTGACGTGCGGTTACCATGAGCAACACCGCCAGTCGTGTAAATTCCACTTAACATCACTGGTGTCGACAGAACTGCAAATGTGACGACGGCAAGGTCCGTCCAATAAATGGTAACTAAGTACCAACGAAAATGTTACGATTACAACAGCGTCTAGAAGTCGATGATGAATGATGGTCGGCATGTGAGGGTTCCCATGGAGGTGATAGCAAGACACAAGCATGAATAAACAAACACCCAGCACAATCTCATGACACGACGAGCAGTAAATTGGCACAGCAACATTCCACTGCTGCAGCTGCTGCTTCTACTCCTTTCCTACCTCAATCCTACCCTAAACCCTAATCCCTACTTCTACTCCGACTCCCACTCCTACTTCCACTCCGACCCCGACCCCGGCGCCGACTGCAACGGCTGCTATTACCACCACTACATACCAATACCTTATGGCTCCGGGCCAGGAGGGCTAGGGCTGCTACTGCTGCTGCTACTGCTATTGCCACCACCACCACCACCACCACCACCACTAGCCTGCTTTTTCTTCGCTTCGTGACCCAAGTCTACTAGGTCTACTACTGCTTTCACTCTTGCCCGATGTCCGTTCTTATGTCTTCTGGTGCTGTATGTTGCTCTTCCTGCGCTTGCTGCTCAAAATCGTCCCTTCTGCTACGGCTGAGGATATAAATCCTGCATTACCTTAAGGACCCTAAGCTATGGGACTTTTGGTATATCCCTTATAATGGGAAATGCAGGATTTCTATCATCAACCGTATCACCCATGCTGCTGCTTTCCGATCGACCTTGTGCTGGTCCGACTGTCCGACAATACCCTCTCCCTAAGCCCCACAACCAGAAACGGTAAACTAAACCCTAAGCCCGAAACCCTAAACCCCTTATGGTACCCCTATAGATCCCTTATAGCAGTCCTTAAAGGAACCCCTAAACTCCTTATGGTACCCTTATAGATCCCTTATAGCAGTCCTTAAAGGAACCCTTAAAGGAACCTTAAACCCCAGGCTTCAACCGAGGCCCACGCTTGGCGTCCCACTTCAGCGGGCCACAGGCATAGGCGAATGCCTTTGGTGAGCGCCTTGTGGCCTTCCACCATTTAGGGGTTTAGGGGTTCCTTTACCTTAAGCCGGAATAACCTACCTTTTTAGGGTTCCGTATTATAGTTTCCTTACATAAGTCCTTCAAAAAGTTGGTTATTCCGGCTCAAGGTAAGCATTGCCATAAGGGGTCTATCAGGGTACTATAAGGGATCTATAAGGGTACTAAAAGTGGTGTTGGGGTTTAGGTGTCTAAGGTTTGTGGGTTTAGGGGTTTAGGGTTTAGGGTCTAGGGGGTTACAGTAGAAGCCAGAAAGTTGGAATATCATTATCGTAACCCCTTTAAGGTAAATTATAGGGGATCCTACCATTAATCCATATTCCAACTTTCCGGAGTTCCTTTTAAGGTTTGAGGTTTAGCATTTGGCGGTCTGGGAGTTGCAATCTGCCAAAACTCGCATAAGCCGCGATCAAGCTAAGTTTATAGGCTCCTTAAGGGAGGGTGGTTCAAGGGGGGAGGGTATAAGGAATCCTTAGGGGACTGTAAGGGAACCTTAGGGAGTACTAGGGAGAATTAGGGATCACTAGGCTATATACCCCCCTTGGATCCCCCTCCCTTAAGGATACTATAATAAGTACAGGAAGCATGAAAACTGTAGCTAAGTTAATCTAGAGGTTGACAGAAGTTGGCTGAACAAGGGTACAAGCCACCAGTGATGAGAAATGGCCAGCAAAGAACATCCCGTCATGATCAAGATCATCTAGTTCGATCACGGGGAGAAATGCAAGAGTGGTAACAGTGGTAACAATAGCGAGCCCTGAACACGAAGGACATGTCAAAGTAATATTGATCCACAAAGCCCCTCCCTCAGTTGATTGAATCCAAGGGTTTTGAATCCTTCACAAAGAGGGTCTTATGTCATCAGTGCTCTACATGGGAAGCTCCGGAAATTAGGGGTCCCTGGTATGGCACCGAAATAATCGCTTTCTCACCTCTTAAGCTTGTAAGTTGCTCCCACAATAAGCATTTAGAGGATCATGGGACTTGGTAACTAAGGTTTTGTAACTCCTGCTATGATTGCTGTTAACCCCAATCAGAATACTTATGTCCTTCCTTACTAAGTCCCGCGATGAGATCCCTTTTCAGGAACCTTTTTTGGAGCCCCGTAAGGAAGCCTGATTACTGAGTCCCATGATCCTCTACTATAAAACCCTTAAAACTATAATAAAACATGCCATGCTTATTAATCCTTCGGTTGTATACAACAAAGTCTAAGTAATCTGGCCTCGGCGACGAGCTTCTCGTCGGCTCGGAGGTCAGGCACCTGGCTGCTTATGAAAGGGTTTGGGGGCTTGGGGCTTCAGGGTTTAAGGCTTAGCGTTTAGAGCTTAGGATTTCGGGTTCAGCAGCTCCGGATAGAGCAGTATTACATCAAAGTGGTATTTATGGGTTTGATATAACCAACCACCCAGAGAATCCCATAGTTTCCACAATTTTCATTAAACCACACAAATCAGCTCAACAGCCTCTATTCGACGATGCCCTTTCTAGTTTTGTTGAGAAGATTGCTTACAACGGTTGCACTACTAGTTTAGGGAAATTATTTTCCCGTTCGAACCACTATTTTAGGGTGCGGACAATTATTTTAGCCTTCGCCCTACGAGTCTAGGGTTCAAACCAGTATGTTAAAGTTCGAGCTATTATTTCAGGATTCGTACTATTATTTTAGGGTTCGGGTTAGTGTCTTTGGGAGTCAGACGACTGTTTTAGGGTTCGGACTACTATTCTAGGGTTCGGACTGCTACTTGTACCACTATTTCAGTATTCGGACTGTGAATTTGAATTTTCGGGCAACTATTTAGGGTTCGAACTACAATTTTAGAGTTCGTGCTACTATTCAGGGTTCGGACAACTATTGTAGGGTTCAGGCCACAACCCTACGGTTGGGACTACTATTTTAGGATTCGGACTACTATTTTGGAGTTCGGACTGTTAGTTTGGGTTTCGTACAAGTTTTGTAGACTCGCACTACTATTTTAGCGATCGGGCTACTTCTTTACGGTTCGGACCATTATTTCAGGATTCGTACTATGTTAGGGTTCGGATTCCTATATCAGGAGTCAGACGGCTATTTTAGGATTGGGACTACTATTTGAGGGTTCCGACTATTATGGTAGGGTTCGTACCACTTTATTAGTATTAGGACTATTAATTTGGGCGGCTCGGACTGTTAATTTGAGGTTCGAGCTACAAGTGTTGAATTCATATTGCTAGTTCAGGGTTCGGATAAAAGGTTCGGACCACCTGCTTACGATTTCTTACGCATCGGTTCGCGCCAATCCCCCCCCCCCCCCCACCCCTTGTTCAACATTGAGGACCGCTAACATGGGCACCGGCCACGAATATATTGCCGTGTGCCACGAACTATTTGCCAAGGGCCACGAAGTGGTTGCCATGGGCCACGACGTGCTGCACGGCTCATGGCAAATAATTTGCGGCCCATGGCAAATAATTCGTGGCTGATGGCAAAACTTCGTGGCTCAAGGCAAAAAAACACCAGCCATAAATGATTCGTTATTTGCCATCGGCCGCGAAGGTCAGTAAGGTTTGAACTAGTATATATACATGATAGAGAGGTTTAGGGATTCGGGTTTAGGGGCTTGAGAGCATACAGCGTCTGGGGTTTAAGGGGTTTAGAGTTCAAGGGTGCAGGCCTCAAGGTTTTGGGGTTCAGGATTCGCCACGGTCCACCCCATCAGTGTGGAATCAACTCGACAGCACCACAGACCCAAGAACCCTAAACCTAGGAAAGCTGCACCTCAATCGCCAAAACGTGAACCTAAAATCCCGAAGACACAAACTGCGCTCCCTCCACTACATTCCCAAACCCTAAACCTGCAACCCAAAAGCCCTGACCCAAACTTTCTGACTGCGGAGTCCTGAGCCTCTAACCCAGAAGGCCTTAAGCCCTAAACCCATCCCTAAGCCCTGAGCGCTAAACCCCAAGCCCGAACTCTAGGCCTAATGGTACAAAATCCAAGATCTTCATTCTGATCATACGAGAATATGCCCCAAAACCCTGTTCTAAAGAATCTCCGACGGACCGAAGGCCCCAAAGCCCTCCTGGTTCAAGAGTCAAGGTCTATGGTTCAAGGCTTCAGGTTTATGAAGTCTGGCGGGGTTCCGGAGTTTAGGGTTCAAGGCTTGGAGAATTTGGGGTCTAGGATTGGTCTAGGCTTTAAGGGTTTAGATTGAGGGTTTAGGGTTTAGGTTTAGGCATTCAAAACCTTACGGACTGGCTCCGGTGACAAAAGTTGAACAACACTGGTCGGCAGAATGAGAACAGCGTCTAGTTCCCGGTACACCACACCCCCCGAACCCTAAAACCCCAGACTCCGAAACCCCAAACCCTTGCTGCAACTGTTTAACTGTACCTCTGCACTCTCGGGATGCAGATGTTTTTCCAAACCATACTTTAACATATGCTATACTATAACATCTACTACATTATCTAGTCTACTATAATATATACTACTGCATACTATGTACTAAACTGTACTATACTATACTAACAACCATATTATACCAAGGCCCTGAACCCAGCCAGGCTGGCTGCATAGCGCAAGGCCATGCCATTCTGCCGGACAGCCGCCAGAACAACCTGCTGGGTCGGTTTAGGGTTTATAGAAGGGTTTAGGGTAAATTACCCTAAGGCTCCCTTTTGGGGGAAGGGTCTGGGCTTTGGGGGCTAAGGTTTGGGATTTCACTACGAGGGCCCAGGAGCCTTAGGGTATAGAAATTGTACAGATTGCTCTGGTCTGGAATCCTTCGAAAATGTGTGTGTGTCCAGAAGGATGGGTCCCGACCCAAACAAACTGTTCTTTTCGCTTTTGCCCCAGGACCCCACCAGGGGTTTAGGGGTGGCCAAGGACTCTTCGTCAACATGTTTAAAAGAGACGCCTTCATTAGAAGACTTTAGGGCTTAGAGTTTAGAGGGTACCTTGTAAGTATACTCTACGGAGATGTTATCCTGGCGGAAAAGGACGCAGAGACGAGAAGCAAGACAAACAGAAGGAGCCGGCAGCACATTCTTTGACAGCTGGGTACGATGTGAATTGAAAATCATGTCCCTATACTGAGCTTAGAACCCTAACAAAAATTTATAATTTTAGCTGTTTCTTAGGGATTATATTCACCAGAAATTAAAACTTATTTCTAAGTACCCCTAAGGTCCTGGGTCAAAGGGCCACCAGCCCTGAAGCTGAAGGCATGCACGGTTTAGGGTTTAGGGTTTAGGGTTTAGAGTTGCAGGAAGTCGAGGTGCAAACGTCTTTGTCATCTTCATTGTAAAGGCCGCTCGTACGATGCGGTGTCTCGCCACTCCCCAAGCCAGATGATCCTCCTGAAACCGGCGGTCTGAAAAGGAAAGCAAGAGGCAAACAGGAAAGTCGCTTTCCATGAGAGGCGGCCTTCTTCTTCGGACGGATAGCGCGGAAAATGAGACCTTAGACAAGGGTGACAAGAGCCTGGAGGGTGTAGAGTGCAGGCTCGAGACGAAGCTTCGCGTCCAAAGACGTCTGGGAAGCTGCCGAAAGGCCCTGCAAAACTGGCGATTGCAAAGAGAGAAACCTCCACGGCAAGGCCTTAATCCAGTCCACACGGGTGTCCAAGTGCTCATCTTTCGCAAAGCGGCCAGTGAACATGCTCTTTTGGTCCTCCGCGGAGATTGCCCTGAGCAAGCGAAAAAAATCCAATTGCAAGCATGTCACAGGAAACGAGCCTGGCCATCTTGAAAGAGCAGGGAAGCACAAGGTGCGAGAAGAGCTGGAAACAGGCTGCATGGCAGATCAAAAATGGAAAGTTCACCTGGCCGTTCCAGCAGCGTTACAGCGTCAAACTTCTAAGAATGTTAGTGACAGCAGTGGATATCGACCGAAAGCAGACTCTGGCGCAGAAAAACAAACTATGACCTCAAACTTTGCAAAATCAAATTTTGAATCCACAAATTGTTGAACATCCACAGCTTGGAAGCTTTCCTTCGCTGTAAGAAGTTCATTTCACACGGCGAAGGTTTCAAAAAAGCGGTTCCAGAAATTGAAACAAGGATCAAGGCTTTCAGCACTTTGGGAAAGAGAGGACGAAGGGGGGTTTAGGGTTTAGGGTTTAGGGGTTTAGGATTTAGGGTTTAGGGGTTTAGGGTTTAGGGTTTAGGGGTTTAGGGTTTAGGGGTTTAGGGTTTAAGGGTTTAGGGGTTTAGGGGTTTAGGGTTTAGGGTCAAAGGCTTTGAAGGTACGCTCTGCAAGCTCAAAGGTAAGCGGGAAGAACGTCCCCTTAGAGCCACTTGAAGGGGGGCCTTCAAGCCCCCATTCGCTGCAGGGTATATAGTGGGCTCTACATCTTCATCAGATCTACCCTCACGCTCTTTTCATGAATTGGTGCTGGGTGCCTGAAGTCTGAAGAGAAAGATGCCATCGTCATCAAAGGAAACCCTAAACTTGAAGCCTAAATGTCCATCTCAACCCTGAAGCCACATCGCAAAATCATAAAAGCTGAAAGACCTTAAACCTTAGACCCAGCAAGTTCACAAAATCCCCCACTCATCATCCTCCAAAAAGAATCAACCTAAACCACACGCCTGCTGATCCCAGAGGAACTCGGTCTCTGCCTTACTTAAGGCGTCAGACTTTAACTGTAGGGTCGGGTTAGGGATTTAGGGTTTAGGGTTTAGGGATTGAGGGTTTAGGGATTTAGGGTTTGGGGCGTGACCAAGGATTTAGTGCCCGGGGTTCCGGCGAGAACCTCCGGCTTGGGGGTTTCACGGTTCGTGGGTTTAGGTTGGGTACGGCCCCCACTCAGTAATAGTTGAATAGTATATTCATAATACAGATATAGTAGGACCTTAATAGTAGCCCTATTGTAGACTCTTACTGTATGGGGGGGCCGTACCTAAGGTTTAGGGCTTTGGAGTTTGAGCTTCGGCTTCAGCAGGAATTGGAGCTTCGGGCCCTGTCCTTATTTTTGCTTAGGGGGTTTTTTTGGGGCCCTAGTCAAGAAGACCTCGAGTTGAGAGTTCCTGGATGTGTGAACGCTAGGGTTTGGTGTTTAGGGTTTAGGGTTTAGGAAAACATTTCTGACTCAAATAAATACAAAACCTGGGAGTTTCGACGATTGCGCAGGGTTTTTTGCACCCTTCCAAAGCCCATATCCTGAACCTCACACTACGAGGCTGCCCTAAACCCCAAAACCCCCAGAGCCAAACCGTACACCCCAAAAACCCGAAACCCCAAACCCTTACACCCCACAAACCCCAAACCCTAAACCCTACACCTCTAAAAACTCCAAACCGTAAACGCCAAGCCCTGAACCCTAAACCCTGAATCCTCAGGGCGGGGGGGGCAGGGGGGGCAGGCTGGGCACGGCGGGCAGGCCAGAATTTTGGCCTTTACAGAAAGTTGGCCATCCAATCCTGGAAAAGGCTTCCGAATGGTGGATGAGCGAAGTCCTACGCTAGGCTTGTCTTGGTGAAATGGTTGACCTGACACCCCAGAGCCTGCATACACATCCCTAGACCTTAAACCCCAACCTTTAAATCCAAAATCCATCTCCTGCTCTCATGCCATGGCATCGCCTGTCTACTTCGTCGTCGGTGGTCCACTGTTTCATCTCAGCCCTCGCGTCCTTTATTAGTTTGGGCTCCTTACTACAAGTATGCCATAAGTACAATATACCATAAGTTGCCTCTTTACAATCTCGCCCACTCTAGGAGTTTACTTGTGTGCAGGCCGGGCTAACCTGTAACCCCGTTCCGCCTCCAGCTTAGCGAGGCCCGAAACCCTTGGCATTTGTATTCACAATATCATGATACTGTGGGTTTTGTGTTTAGGGTTCAGGGTTAGTATTGGTGGTGTAGAGAAGCTGGTGGTTGTAATAGATTTTGCTGGAGATGGACCTGTAATGACCATAGCAAACGACCCTTGCCTCAAACTCTAATCGAGATGCCTAAGCACCTCTAAAAGTGCGAGGCGTTTGCAGAACGCGGGATTCAAACACCACCAAGCTGGCCGAGACGCAAATCGCAGCGCATCGCCGTTCCTCCAAAAACGGCAATGCAAGCGATCACCTAAAACCCCGAGCAACCCAGACCCATCAAGAAGATGAAATCGCCCTGACTGCCACAGGAAGGACTGTGCCAGGAACTGGCAAAGCCTAGACCTGCATATTATACTATAGCTATAATAAAGAACCCCCACAATAGTATTGGTAATTACTTAGGCCCCTATATTCACATCCTAAAGCATAGAAGCCTCGAGCTCGAAACCCCAAACTCCTGCGACCAAAACCACTACACCCTGAGCCAATGCTGTAAAGCCCACCACCCCTCTAAACCCTGAGCCCTAAGCTCCTTTTAGGGCTCCTTTGGGGGTTCCTTTAAGGGATCCCTTATAGGGTTTAGGGTTGGGGGTTCCTTTAAGGGATCCCTTATAGGGTTTAGGGTTGGGGGTTCCTTTAAGGGATCCCTTATAGGGTTTAGGGTTGGGGGTTCCTTTAAGGGATCCCTTATAGGGTGTAGGGCTTCGGGCCCTTAAACCGATGAAGCGCAGGCCGCCTTGCCATCGCGTCGCAAACAAAAGCCCGGTTCGCTCGCAGGTCCTGACATTCCACAAGGTTGCTCAAGCTAAACCCTAAACCCTAACCCAAAACGTAAGCTTTGGTTGGGGTCCAGGTTCTTAGGGTTTAGGGTTGAGGGTTTGGATTATCGAGTTGACGAGTTCATGGGGCTTCCAGGGTTTAATTGGGCTTGCACAGCTTGTCAGTGGCATGATAGAGCTTCGGCTTATATGGCTTTTTGGGGGTCGTGGGTTTGTTTGTGCAATGGTGAGGGATTTACAGTAGCTGCTATTGAGGCTGAAGTTAGCCTGTGAAAGTCCCTACAGCAACACTGTAACGGATTTCTCGTAGGCGCATTGACAATGCAAGTCGGGTGTTGGAGTACGTTCGAGCTCTATTGTACACTATAGGGGCCTTAATACTTAGGATAGGGCTTGGGGATATCTTATGCCATAAGATCATAAGACCATAGTTCTATTAATTTTAATTTTTAAGGCCCCTGCAATAGGGGACTATAAGTCTATAAGGGGATCGTCTTGTCGAGCACCTCTAGCTTTACCAGCTACGCCAAAGCATACCTACGCTTTAAACCCTAAGACCTACCTGGACCCTATAAAACCTTTCTATTTAGGTTCCCTATTGTGGCTTCCTGAGTGTAAGTCCTTTGAAAAAGTAGGTTATTTGGGGGGTAAGGCGCGCTCTAAACACCCGTACTAGCATCCCGTAAACACCAAACACCTGTATGGTCCCCGTCAAGCCCCATGAACCCATATTATGAAAGCTTATAAAGCCCATAGTGCCACCCCACAAACATCATGAAATCCTGGGAAACTCATCATGATGAACCTCGGCGACGAACTGCAGCGCGGAGGCATGGCTTTGGACCGCCTGAATTGACAGGCTTGTGCGCGGGGAGCGATGCCCTAAACCCTAGACCCTGAACACTTTAGGCTTTGGGTTTCGGGTGCTGTGCTCCAGAGTTCGAAGGTTAGGGGGCCTAAACCCGACACCTTCTGGGCTCTAGCTTCCAAGCACTGGAGATGGCCACCATGATCCTCCCCAGAGAGCCCAATACCTAATTAAGGAATATAGCTTAAATCATTATATGAAGCCCTATATAATTTAAGCCATATTCCTTAATTAAGGGGTATTGGGCTTTCTGGGTCTTGCTGTGCCGGCACTCTGGGCCTCAAGTGCGAGGGCGCGGTCCGTCCGAAGCCGCTGCGAGGCAAAAGCCAGAGCCCAGCCCGTCTTGCGCAGGGCCTGGCTGCAGAGTTTGGGGTTAAGGTAGGGTTTAGGGTTTTGGGTTTAGGGTTTGGGTACGGCCCCCCCGTACAGTAACAGCCTATAATAGGCCCACTATAAAGGTCCTTATATCGCTGTATTATGAATATTATCCAACTGTTCCTGAGTGGGGGCAGTACCCAAGGTTAAGGGATCAAAGGACCCAGGGGTTTAGGGGTCTGGGGTTCAAGGGTTTAGGGTCTGGGGCTTTAGGGTTAGGAGTTTAGGGTTGAAGGATTAGGGTTTTAAGGAATGGGGGGTTCAAAGTTTAGCTCTAGGATTTTGAGGCTCGGTGTAGGTTTCGTGGCTTTCGGGGTTGCAGGTCCGCCAAAGACATCCTACACTCTGCACTTCAGGCACAACACCCTCGAAGTCTACGAAACAAACATAATTGTCAAAACCCCTAAACCCTAAACCTTAAACCCTAACCCCTAACCCCTAAACGTCAAACCCCTAAAATCAGAGCAGCAAGCCTCACCAGGTCTTGCGCTGGAAACGCGAGGACCGACCCGAGCCTCAAAGCCCTCCTATCCTCCTCAGGGCTTACCCAGAGAGCCCAATACCCCTTAATTAAGGAATATAGCTTAAATCATAATATGAAGCCCTATATAATTTAAGCCATATTCCTTAATTAAGGGGTATTGGGCTTTCTGGGTACCTGTAGCCGCAAAAACCTACCTGCTTAGGGTTCCTTACTCTAGTTCCGATATAAAGTTCCTTAGAAAGGGAGGTCTTTTGGGCCGCAGGTAGAGGTTAGGGTTTCGGGGTTGGGCCGTCTGCGAGACTCTTGTGGGCAACATCAATGTCTCTGAAAGCGGCTGGGGGTGACACAAGCTGCTATGGCTGTCTCGAGGAATCTTTGTCCCATTAATCCGTGAATCGTAAACCATGAAGCAACCAACCTTCCAAAAGGAATACGGCGGCTTGCATTTTCGACACACACACACAAATAGCTGTCGTTTTCGTCTTTTGCCGAAGCAACGGGGGCCCTAAGATGCCACTTTGTGCGGGGCGAAAATACAGGTGAAACATAGGTAGGCTTTCAGGTTTTAAACTTTACGGCAGGGCACATGGGGTTTGAGCGTTGCTGCTTCAGTTTCAAGCAACAGGATGCGAGGTCTGGCGAGCAGGTAGTTCACGGGATCTCTAGATGGAGCTTTGCCGGAGCCGTGAGCGAAACCGTTTCCAAAAAACAAGAGCTCAAGTGTACCAATCGTCCGTCAGTATTCCTCGCAATTCTTAGACCGAGGGGTGCCCCAATAGTGAGTTGCAAACCATCCACCCTTGAGTCTTTCAATCCAGCCATCGTATTGGTCGGCCGAAACTGCCAAGATTGGAAATGCTCAGTCTGCCCTGCACAGCGCTGCTTGCCGTCTAAATGGCCGATATGCAAGTACCAGTCGGGATTTTTGCATGACATGCTTCATGAAGTCGTAGTACTCCCAGTGTATGGAAAAAGCTAGCGCTGTTCCAGCTAGTGTTGGCTGCTGCCAGAGTCTGCATGGACTTTGACTGTTCCCCTAAGGATTCAAGTACCTAACCATAATATACTCTCCCAAACAGTAACCTACATAACTACTATCCGAAACCTAAGTACCTAAATATCGGGTACTTTGGACCCTTAGGGTTCTTGGAAGCCAAGAACTGAACTGTTTCCGTGTGTGACCCTGACAGGACCGAAGATCCAAGCCCATTCAAGACTCAAAATGAGTGATGTGGGGCCTTAATAAATATGCAGAATAGATTTGTCGGGCCCGTTATACTATAACTATAATAAGGAATCCCCAAAATAGTGTTGATAATAATTTGGGCCTCTATATTGGGGTTTGGGGTTCCAACTGAAAGATACGTACAAGGACTGCAGACCCTGAAGTGCGCAAATCATGTGACCTGATGCACGGGAAACTGGGAAACTGTGCATCGCATCAATCCAACCTCTGCACGCCAGGTTTATATAGGATACTCTACGTATAAATAGCAACCCACTCGGACCCTCTAGGAGAAGCAGAACAATCTTCACTAGTCCAGGGGCAACTAGAAAACCTACTTTATCACCTCGCTCGATCCAATCTAAAGCCAAGGGACTTCAGAATCTTTCTTGGACCAGCATCAATCCAAGCCCAATAGGCCCGGAATATGTGGGTTCAGGGTTTATAGGGCTTAGGGTTGAGTGGTAGGTATCTGTTGTACTATCTTCGTACAAAACTACTATCATATGTGTGTATGGATATACATACATATGCGTAATCTTTTTGTGTCTGTCGATATGTCAGTCTATGTGTAGCGAACCCTAGAAGGCAAGAATCCTGATCGCACCGGGCCGATACTGTTCATCTGCACTAACTACATGTGAAGAGCCTACTATATGTGTATATATGTAGATACCCCCAATCTCCAGAGTCCTTGTGATTATGGGGTCGGGCTTACACGATTCCTAGCAAGCCGAACCAAAACGTTGCAAACCCGCAACCCCCCAAATGCGGCTGAGCTTAGGCAAAATTCCTCAACCTTCAACCCCATGTTCCCTAGACCCTGAACAAAAACATCGCATACCAATCATCCCTAAACCCTAGAGGCAGACTCCAACTCACTCTCACGACTGTCGGCGCTCAGAAGAACGCAATCAGCGGCTTTTCGGCTGCTTCGGGGACAGCTCCTCCCTGGCAAGATAGTCTCTGTCCTACAAGGACCCTTGAACGGTTTAGGGTTTAGGGTAGACTGTAGAAGCCGCAAAGCATCCCACGAGCTTGGGTGTAAAAATGGAATCGAAGATCGTTGCCAAAAATTCGTACAAACGGGCCCACTATCGTTGTCGCTATGCTTGCAGTGTCATGACCATGACAGTCAACATCGGATAACATAACAGACCGGACCGGTTTCTTAAACACACGACTTCCGTTCCTGCTCCTTTTCCTTTTCCTACTCTTCCCCTTCTGCTTCCTCCTCCTCTCCTACCACGACTTCTGTTGCTGCGGTGGCCTCGGATATGATAGGTGCTGCTGCTGCTACCTGCTGATGCCGCTGTCGGTGTTGCGCCTGCTGCCCTCGTGCATCTTCGTCAATCGCTACAACCAGTACCACCAACACGGTTGCCCTAGGATGATCCTCCCATGTTTCTGTCTGGTTGCCAATTCTGAAACTCAACAGTGCGGTACGTGATAAAGAGGATGATGAGGACGACAAAATGACGGATTATGGCAGCGATGGCGATGACGGTTGTGACGCCGGGACGCTGACGGCGATGATGATAACACTGGCGGTGGACCAGGTCTTTATTGCTGCTACTGCTCTGCCATGATCCAGGAAATGGCTCCGATTGGCCATGCAAGAGAAGACAGTGTTGAAGCTATTAAAGGTCCCCTCAATTGAACCCTTACAGGTACCCTTGAAGGAACCCTTCTCCGGGTCAAGTCTGCGGGTGGAAGGCCCTAAGCTGCGTGTACACGCACATACACTCACTCACTCACCCACCCAGTCTCGCACTCACGCACCCATTCAGACAGTGAACCTTAAATTCCCAACCCCAGACTCGAAACGCGAGCCTGAGTCCTGAAACCCGGACTCATTGCAATCCCCTCCCAGCAAGGCATGGGAACAGCAACGAACTCAATCTGCTACCTCGCTCTTGAACCCTAAACCCTAAACCCTAAAAACCCTACACCCTAAACCCTAAAACCTAAACCCAAAGGTACAAAGGCCTCGAGCCGACCTCGGAACTGTTAACAGTATCTGTAGGCTCATGCCCTACCCCGTTTTGAGGGCGCCTACTTCTTAAGATAGCAGGTCAAAAAGGGGTAGGGTATGAGCCTCTAGGTAGTGCCCTTCATAAACCTTTAACCCTACACCCTCAAAGATTTCAGCCCCCTCTCCTCAGCCCAAAACTGCAGCCCCACCTTGTCAAGGCTCTAGAGACAAGCTCCAGAAGAGTGCCTTCAGTTTGTTGAAGGTCGGAGCTTGGATGAAGGGTTTGGGACTTTGGGCTTGGGCTCAGGAGCTGGATTAGGGTTTACGTGGGGCTTAGGGTTGAGATAGCGGCGTTTTGGATTTTGGCTTTTTGGCTTGGGTCCCTAGAGTATCCATCTGACGGGAGGCCAAAGGGGGAGTTTAAGATTCTTGGGGTCCCTACTATGGGAACCCTAATCCCTACTAAACCCCCATAGGCTAAAACCCCTTTTGGCCTCCTATGACCATCTGAGTGCCGCAGTCCGAGCCTGCACTCTTCTCAGTCAAGTGGATCTTGTCGTGAACCACCTGTCCCAGAGCTCTCGGGTTGAGGAGTTCGTGGAAAGAACAGGGGTTTCAAGGCTTTCTATTGGGTGCTGCCCCCATACTGTAACCGTCTATAATAGGGCTACTATTCAGGGCCTAACCTAACATATCCATATTACTGGGTTGGCCTTTAAACACCCTGAAAAAGATTTATATGTAGGGTCCCTTATAGACCCAAATAAGGAAAAAATGTCCCAAAATCCAACCTAAATTATGAATAATATCCAACTGTTACTGAGGGGGGGCAGTACCCAAGCTTTCTACTTCAGTTGAGGAGATTCGGAGCAACGCATACCGGAACATCCCTGCGGTCTAGTTCAGCTGCCACGACTGGCGGTGTCCGACCTTGCGGAGAACAACAGAGTCGCAGGATAACCGATCCACAAATCCGATCAAGCAGCTGGTTCCCTAAACCCTAAACCCTCAACCCTAAACCCTGAACCCTAAAACCCTCAACCCCTAAACCCTCAACCCTAAAACCCTAAACCCCTAAACCCTCAACCCTAACCTCTAAACTCTGAAGCTTTTTCTAGATTTCAGGAGCCCGGTGCTGGAATTTGCGAAGGCATTCATGGAGGCAAACTGCCCGTAATAGTGTTTGTGTTGTGGACCCCCATTGTGGGAACTCAAGATACAATTTCCTAACCCTAAACCCCTAAAGGAGCCCTAAACCCTAAACCCCCTCATCCTAAACCCCTAAAGGAGCCCTCTCAACCCTAAACCCTAAACCCCTAAAGGAGCCCGAAATCCTAAACCCTAAACCCCTGAAGGAGCCCGAAATCATGGTATCTTACGTTAGGTCCTTCGCAAGAACCCAGATCAGAGGCCCTCGGGGAGCTGAAATTTCGTTCCTGGCCTTGTTGTAGGGTTTAGGGTTTATAGAAATTGTTAAGGGTTTGGGTCCCAAAAACGTTTTGAACGAAACTTTTTGACCGAAACGTTTTGAACGAAAGTTTTTTTGTTGCGAACCATGTTTTCAAATTTGCTGGGGGGCTGGGGCCCTTGGGTGCCAAAAACGTTTTGAGCGAAACGTTTTGAGCGAAACGTTTTGAACGAAACGTTTTGAACGAAACGTTTTGACCGAAACGTTTTGACCGAAACGCTTTGAACGAAACGTTTTGACCGAAACGTCTTGAACGAAACGTTTTGAACGACAATTTTTTTGCGAACCATGTTTTCAAATTTGCTGGGGGGCTGGGGCTCTTGGGTGCCAAAAACGTTTTGAGCGAAACGTTTTGAACGAAACGTTTTGAACGAAACTTTTGAACGAAACGTTTTGACCGAAAGTTCTTGCCTGGGCTGGGCTGGGCTGTGGCTGGGCTGGGCTGCCTGGCTGGGCTGGGCTGGCCTAGGCTGGGTCGGTGCTTGGACTGGCTGGTGGAAGGTTGTAGAGAAATTGGTTTATCAAGAAGCTTGTTCCGTTTTTGAGCTCCAGCTCAATGTTGGCCGGGCCGTACCGGTGGTTACAAGTTTGTAGAGAAACTGGTTTATCTAGAAGCTTGTTCAATTTTTAACTTTTGTGTTGGGCCGTAGCGGTGGTTACAAACAAGGACAAGCAATTTCTATTTATCACTTTCTTGAGGGTTTAGGGTTTAGGGTTTAAGGTTTAAGGGTTGAGATGAACGCTGGGTAAAAACCTTAAACAATTTTTTAGCCGTTTTAGGGCCTAGAGACTTTTTTAGGGTAAAAACCTTAAACAATATCTTTAGCGTTTTAGGGTTTCATATATAGAATCCTATAGGGTAATCCCAGCGTTTTAGGGCCTAGAGACTTTTTTTTGGAGTTTTAAAGTTTAGGCCTTAGCTGAGGGTTAGGCCTTATGGCTGACGGTGGGCTTGGGGTGCAGGGTGTTCGGGATTCAAGACACCCAAACTCGCCGTTCAAGACCACTGATCACCCAAACTCACCGGTGCAAAAACTGCCGCTGGGTAAGCTTCATAATGTAGGAACCGGATTAAGAAGCCTTGGGCCTTTACTAAGGGTTCCTTATATTACACTACTATTTAAGCGTTCTAGGCCCAGGGTTTCTTTATCAGGTTGCTACATTAAACCCAAAGTAGTTGCTTTTGGGGGCTCATATTTAGACTTTAGAATTCTGTAAGGTAATCAAAGTAATCCCAATAAGGAACTACTATGGGGCCTATGGGTATAAACCCGGCAGCCCCAGAACTGTGAGGCCCTCGGGACAAAAACTCGCACAAAACAAAGCCCCAGACCCCCGGGAGGATCTAGAAAGTAGATCCCCTAATTTGGGGCCCTATACTACTAAGGGCACTTTATAGGAACCCCCATTAAGGGATCTACTTTTTGGATCCTCCCGGAACACCGGGGCTCGATCGCCTCGCGACCACATCGCTGCGCGAGAGAGTCGAAGCTCGGTCCACCCGGGAGCCAGCGCAGCCCAGTGTGGAGGTACCTTACTAGAGGGCCGTAAGGATTAGGATAGGGTTCCCTTTAAAGGGATCCTTAAAGGCCTCTATAAGGGAGGGTTCTATAATATAGTGTGGAGGTACCTTGAGAGACTAGCGGATGACGGGCTGGGAAAAACTGCGGTCCTAAAGTATTCAAGCAGGTTTTGCATGCTGGCAGTCATAGAACAGGGCAACACAAACAAGAAGTCGCTCGATCACTGTAAATGTACTTAGAGTTTTCCTTTGGAAGACCCCATGTCCAGTGAAATCGTACCGGCAGGTAGCTGGGCTTCTGGCAGCACAGGCAGTATGCATGAGCCACGATGGTTTAGAGGTTGAAGGGCTGGGATGTGGAAGCTTTCATGGGTGCCTGTCGTAGATTGCAAGGAAGGCTATCCTGAACCCTAAACCCTAAACCCCTAATCCCTAAACCCTTAATCCTTAAACCCTAAACCCTAAACCCCCTTTATCCTTAAACCTTGAACCCTAGAAAGGCCTCGGGCCGCAGAGGTAGGGCACGAGAGTAGCTTCGGGTTTGAGGCTTTCGGACTGAGCTTCTCGGACTGGGAGTCCTACCCAGAGACTCCAAGATCCCCTAATAAACCCAGAAAGCCCAATACCCCTTATTTAAGGAATATGGCTTAAATGATTTAAGCCATATTCCTTGATCAAGGGGTATTGGGCTTTCTTGGAAGATCCCCTAATAAAGGATATACCTGAAATGAGGATCCCTCATAAAGGAGATACCTGAAATTGGGATCCCTCATAAAGGAAAATACCTAAAATTAGGATCCCTAATAAAGGAAAATACCTAGGACCTAGGGTTCCTTTAAGGGAGCTATAGGGTTTAGGGTTTTCGGGGGTTTTAATATCCCTTAACTAAGGAATATTCCTTAAACTACAGTAGGATCCCTGATATGATTTAGGGTAAAATCCTCAATTGAGGGATGTTGGAGTCTCCGGGTTGAATAGGTGAGCAATGCGAAAGCTGGCCTTTCGTCAGACTTAGCGAGCTTTGATGTAGCGACCTAAATACTTACAAATACTATTCAACCTCTATACTACTTATTGAAGCCCCTAGATTTTCCGGCAAAACTCTGGGCTTCCTGCATTTGTGCAATCGTCTGGGAGAAGGCGGTCGACGACGCGTCGAAGCCTCTTCACATGGAGGTCCGAGGGAGTTCCGTATTTCGGGAGGCGGGGGGGAGGTTTAGAGATTTGGAATTTTAGGGTTTAGGGTGTACGACTTCAAGGTCGCATTAATTAAAGCTTAAACCCTAAATCCCAAGCCCCTAAACCCTTGAACACTTAAACCCTAAAAGCCCCTGAGCATTTAACGCGGGCAAAGTCAAAGAGCCCTAAGCCCCACACCCTAAACTATACTGAACTTAGAACCCTAACAACAATTATAATTTTAGCTGTTTCTTAGGGATTATAATAACCACCTAAGTAAGCTGTCCCCAACCCGCCGACCCTGGGTCCACGTCATGCCACAATTTGGTTTTGGGCCGTGGGCTCGGGCTTCCCTTGCCCCGAAACCGTAGGGTTTAGGGGCTGAAGGTTTCAGATCGGGAGCTTTAACCCCAAATACCCTACTTAGTTTTTAAAGGACTTATGATTATCAGCAAATCATCATCGGGAGCCCTAATAGGGAAGGCGTTATAGAATCTGGGGCTTAGGGCTTTAGTTGAAGATTTGGGTTTAGTTGAAGATTTGGGTTTAGGGTTCGGGGTTTTTTCAATAAACCAGCCGCAGGAAGTCCTGAACCCTCGGAGTTTCCCCAGATGCGGTTTAGGGCTTAAGGGTTTTAGGGTTTAGGGGTTAGGGGTTTAGGGTTTGAGGGTTTAGGTTTTTACGGCTTAGGGCGTTTTTTGAGCGGTGCCTGGGGTTTAGGGTTGAATTCTTAACAAGCTCAAACCCCCAACCTCCGGCCTCAGGTCCAGACGACCCTACTTGGAGGATCGCGGGACTTAGTAAGTATGGTTATAAGTACCTTAACTGGGGTTATAAGTAGTTATAAGTATAGTTACTAAGTCCCATGATCCTTTAAGTACTGCTACTTGCCATAACCTACTGTCTTGTAGTGCCCCCCTAGATTCCGTATTGGGGATTGTATGACGACCCTGCAGGAAAGGTAGGCTCCAGTAGTAGGTGTTGATAAGCCCCAATGAATTCTATGTAACACAAATTATTCTCACTGGTACTGCTATTACTATGCTTACGATTCTTAATCCCTAAAAAAAAGCCCAATCCCAAAGAAATAAGCGCTAAACCCTAAACCCTAAACCCTAAACCCTAAACCCTAAACCCCAAGAAAGCCTGCTGGCCTTCTCCGCTCACGCCCTCCAAGTGCTCAGCGAACGGCACATACCTTCGCCGGTCGATCGGCTTAAGAGGGATTGGGGCTTTGGGGTTTGGGTTTAGGTTTTGGGGTTCAGGGGTCTAGGGGTTTAGGGCTTGGGGTTTGGGGTTTAGGGTTTGGAGACTAGTGCTTGAGGAACGGTAGTGACAACGTGACAACGATAGGAATTTTACGGCTCATGAAAACCTCAGTTTCTGCCATGCCGCAAATCGCTCACCACATGAGGCTTGGGACCCGGTTTCACCCTAAACCCCACTAAGCCTGTTTATACTGACAATGAATGAGAATTCATCCGGCATGCGGAATGGTGGATTCTAGTACAAAGCCAGTACTGCCAAGCAATGAAAGTTCACGCGGCGTCCGGAATGGTGGATCCTAGACGGCCGATTTGGGGTTAAGGGTTGCCTGCTTAATTAATGGATGTTGGTTGTCGCTTGGTGGCTGACAGTTGTTGGTTAACCGTTAACGGTGCAAGATTAACTGTTGTTGGTTATCTCGAGAATGAAGGAATGCATCGTCCACTCGTTGCGTCCTGTAAACGGACGTAAGGTTCTGCACTAACCAACAAGAAGAATCATAATCACAGACAACAAGAAAAGACACACAGGACTCAATGCGAAGGCACGAATGCCACAAAGGCTGATGAAAAATCCAAGCCATGTTGCTAACACTGCACGGCTGCAAAAAGCCCACTTGTGATGGCCAGACCAAGCAAGATCGGATCGGCTGTTCTGTGGCCCCAGCACGTGGTTTCTCCGAATTCGCTGGACGCATTCTGCGAACCGGGGCATCCCGTGAAAGCATGCACAAAAACCTGCCGAACAACACAAGGCGAGTTGAGTGAAAAGATAAAGTGCCAAAAAGCTGTTCTATGCCGTTGAATCGCTCTGTGGCTCGCCGGCCCAGTCCAGAATTGCACGCTCAACTGGTCGGATTTGCCGCATGTCGCCCAACCAATTGAGCTCTGCAAAACCCTCGAAGTCCAGACACTTCACGTCGCGTTGGTCCTCAAGTGGACTTGCATCAGCCCCCGGACAGCTGCACATCTGCAAGATAGGGGATTTAGGAGCTTAGGAGTTTAGGGTTTAAATAACTTTATTCGAAAGGTTGAAGGTTCAGGGGTTTAGGGTTTAGCGGTTCGACACCTTTGGAACCTCGCTTGCTCGTAACGAAAACTTTTCGCAGCAGGCGAGGCACTGCAAAGTCCCTGCCGTCCAATGTACTATAGGGGCCTAAATAATCACTAATACAAGTTTTGGGGTTCCTTATTATAGCTGTAGTATTTTAAGGCCCCTATATTAATTCCAAGTTCATAGGACAAACCCATAAATTGACCCTAAACTCTAAACCCTAAACCTAAATCCCACTTCAGGATCTTCGGGATCCACAGATTGGGCCTTCAGCGGAGTCCCTAAATCGGAAAACCGGCACCCTAAACCCACATGACATACCCAGACCCTCCATCTACCCTCTATTAGACCCTAAATGCCCCTTATTTGGGACCTTATACCCCTATTTGAGGGTACAAGGTTTGAGGGTACAAGGAGGGCTGGTAGGGTCTTACTGATCAGAACGATGTCGTGGGGCAAGAATTACAAGGACTATAAGGGAATACCGTTACTAAAATGGTCGGACCCGTGTAGTAACTGTCAAGCGGAATTCAGGGTTTAGGGCCTGTTTTGGCGAAACGGCTCATAAGAAAGAGCTTTCAATCCCGAAACCCCAAGCCCAAAACCCACCAAAATCCCAAAACCCTCAAACCTCAACCCCAAACCCTGGACTTTGAACCCTAAACACTAAACTCGAAGAACAAACCCTTAACACTCAACCCAAAACCCTAAACTCGAAGAACAAAACCCTAAATCCTGAAACCGCAAGCCGACCCTCCCGAGCCGAAAACCGACGAAATACTAAACCCCCCCCAAAAAAAAGTATTCGTTATTTCAGGTTCCCTAAACCCTAAACCCTAAACCCGAAACCGACCCTTTTTCGGTTTCAAGGCCGGGAGACTCAGCCCGCGGGTCTGTCTGCACCACATCGCGGATTTGCCTCCAGGTTTGAGGGTTTAGGGTTTAGGGGTTTAGGGTTTAGGGTTTAGGGTTTAGGGTAAGATGTTCACTGTCAGAACTTGCATGGGGTAGCGCTTACTGTTTAGGGTTTGGGGTTTGGGGGCTTGGGTTGCCACTGTAGCCTTGCAGGGGTCCAAGGCAGGTTCAATAAGAGTCTGAATTCTAGCGTTCCGAGCTCAAGCTTTAGGGCCTAAGGGTTTTCTGTAGGCCTGTGCCGCGAACTTCGGCGACTCAGGCAACGGGTGCACAGCTTCAGGCTTCAATTCATGTCGAGGCCGTACTAATTAGAATAGAGCTTTGGGGCATTATAACGGCCCATTATGACTATAACAAGGAAACCCCAAAACAGTATGGGCAGTTGAGGATTCAGGCTTCGATGTGCTCTCTTATCGGTTGGTTTCCCACGGTGATTTGGAGCTGCGGAGGGATGTGGTACTTGTCGGGCCCTCGCCGCCTCTTGGGTGCCTTTGATGGGATTCTTTGGACGGATGGGCTGTTGCTGTGTTCAAAACCGCGCCGCTAGCCTAGTGCTACCTTAGCCCAGCTAGTCGCAAACCCTAAACCTCATACCCCAAACCCTCGACCCTAAGCCCCAAACCTTCAACCCTAAATCCTTAAACCCGTACAGAACCCTTGTAAATCCCCCCTTGCTGAACTTAGAACCCTAGCAAAAAATTATAATGTTAGCTAGTTCTTAGGGATTATAATTCCCAAAAATCGAAAAAATTCCAAGTACGGAACCCCAAAGACTCAAGCGGTGGCCTGTTGTATGAGGCGATGACCTCGGCGGCCTCTCCCGAAGCCGCCTCGCCACTCTTCGGGTGGAAATCTGAGATAGACTAGGGTTTTGGGGCATATGGGAGTTTCCAAAAATTAAGGGTACCTTCTTTTGGGGTCCTTATAATAAGGATCCTACTATTTAGGGTGCTAGATTAGGGTCCCTTATTTAGAATAAGAATACTTAAAGGATCATGGGACTTAGTAACTAGGGTTATAATTAGGGTAGCTATACTTAGAACTACTTATAACCCCAATTAAGGTACTTATAACCATACTTACTAAGTCCCATGATCCTCCAAGTAGGGTTTTGGGGCACATTATACTATAACGATAATGAGAACCCCAGAAAATAGGAATAGGGTTTTGGGGCACATTTTTACTATTTTACTATAATGAAAATAAGGAACCCCAGAAAATAGTGTAGGTAATTTTTGAGGTCCCTATAAAGAGCTCCTTTAAACAGGGTGTCTGTAAGGTCATAAGAGATCTGCAAGACAAGATTCGATAAGGGCCCTAAACCCTAAACCCTAAACCCTAAACCCTAAAAAGGCTCTTCTGAGAATCTTGGGTCGTATTTCAGGCCTTTGGGTCACAGGGTTGCAGGGGTTTAGGGTTTAGGGGTTTAGGGGTTTAGGGTTTAGGGGGTTAGGGTTTAGGGATTTAAGGGTTTAGGGTTTAGGATTTAGGGGTTTAGGGGTTTAGGGTTTAGGGGTTTAGGGTTGAGGGTGTTTCGGGTTGCAGGCTTCCGGGGCTAAGGGTTTCTATACTGAACTTAGAACCCCAGCAAAAATTAGAATTTTAGCTGTTTCTTAGGGATTATAATCACCAAAAATTCTGTTTCTTAGGGATTATAATCACCAAAATTTAAAGTTATTTCTAAGTACCCCTAAGGTTGAGGTGTGTTCTGAAAAGACCCTGCCACGGGCTTTACGGATGCCGGGTGGAAACTGGGAGTCGGTAGTCGGTACGGCTTACAATACTTAAAAGATCATGGGACTTAGTAACTAGGGTTATGATTAGGGTAACTATACTTATAACTACTTATAATCCCAATTAAGGTACTTATAACCATAACCATACTTACTAAGTCCCATGATCCTCCAAGTACGGCTTACAGTAGAAGCCCAAAAGTTGGAAACCCAATAGCCTCAATCAATAAGAATCATGCAAAGGGAATCCCAGCACTACTTGGCCTTAATCAGGTTCCCAACTTTATGGGGCTTACTGTAGGATTTAGGTTTTAATGTAGGAATCTGATTCAGGAACCTTGGGCTTTGATTAGGGTCCTATAAGGGTTCCTTAAAAGGGGACTATAAAGGGTACTATAGGGTGTAGGAACCTGATTAAGGAACCTTGGGCCATTATTGGGGTTCCCTTTATGAATCCTACTATTCTGGTGTTATAGGCCCATCGTTTCTTAATCAGGTTTCCATATTAGGATGATTCAGGTTTAGGGTTTAGGGTTTAGGATTTCGGACTTGAGATTTAGGGGTCGGGTTTAGGGGCTAGAGTCTACTCATCCTTTCTGCAAAGGCGGGCAAGCAACTCGAGAAGTCTTATGAAGATGGAAGCATGCACGAGTGGTGCGTCGGACTGAGCGATGCAGCCCGGTGCAGAAGCAGACATAGGATTTCTTGATGTCTTATAAAATAGGGGCCTTAATTAGTAATCAGAATAGGGCTTGGGGGTACATTATACTGTACGCATCTTAAGGTTGAACCCCGCACAATATTATTGGTAACAATTACACCCTACACCCTAAACCCAAGCACTAAACGCTACACCCTGAAACCCTAAACCCTAAACCCCTAAACCCCTAAACCCTAAACCCCAAGCCTTACACCTTTAACCCGCTACGAGGCCTCGCCAAGCGGAGGGAGGCTCAAAACAGCAACGCGCGAGGCTTTGACAGCCTGAAGCCTCAGCTGAAAGGGTGGGTTCAGGGTTTAACCCTGATAGTAACAGTTTAGGGGTTTAGGGTTTAGGGTTTAGGGGTTTAGGGTTTAGGGTTTAGGGTTTAGGGTTTATTTCCAATAGTAACCCTTTAGGGTTTTGGGATTAAGGTTTAGGGTGTAGGGTTAAGGGTTTAAGGTTTAAGGTTTAAGTTGGTTACTGCCCCCATACAGTCTAGAATAGGCCTACTATTCAGGGCCTTGTAAACCTATATTAGGAGTGCCATCCAACTGTTACTGAGTGGAGGGAGTATCCAAGGTTTAAGGTTTGTGTGCTCATGGTATACTACAGTCACACTATAATGACAACGACGACTACTACTGCTACGACAACGAACGCTAGTACTGGAACTGGAACTAGTAATTACAATTTTTTTGTAGTAGTACTCTACAGCAGTGTGCCCGCCGAGAGACAGGTGGCGAAAGCAGGCAGCAAAGGCCTGCACCAGGAATCTGTAATCAGTCCGTCTGCAGACCCTAACCAGAAGCCCAAACTCGAAAAAGCCCTAAACCCTAAACCCTAAACCGAAGGCCTAAGGTATATGGCTTGATACCGATAAGCTCGTCGATTTGGGCCGGCCTCCGGAGAGGGCTCATAATCCGCTGGCAACTGATTCCTGGGAGGCAGCTCGAAGCCTATACCCGAACAGGGTTCAGGTTTAGGGTTTAGGGTTTGGGGGGGGTTTGGGGTTCAAGGTTGCCGAACCCTGGATCGCACAGAAACTTCGCTTCATGACGAAGAAATCCCATAAACAAAACGGGATAAGTGTAGAACCCATTACAACACTATCGCTTGAAATTTCATATGATGTGCAGGCCAAAATCCGTTGCAAATGAAACTACACAGGACCTGTGCATCTCAGAAACATGTAAAACCTTCCAGAAAACAAGAACCAAAACCCTAAACCCTAAACCGTATGTAAAAAAACAAGAAACGAAGGTTGTGTCTTCAAGAGTGTGCAGCGGCGTTGAAGCAAAAAGCGGGAATCTGATAGGGTCTGGTGGTCACAGTACCATAATACACAACCCAGTATTGAAATTCTAGAGTCTAAACCCTAAAACACGAACCCCGAAATCAAAAAACAACACCAAAATCCTTGGACATTGATGCTCCTCAGAAAGAGATTTTTTTACTTGTCGGGTATCCAAGGGATTAAACAGGGACTACACTACCCAAAAATGGTTAAAGGTTGCAGACTCTACTACTAGGGAATGGGCAACCGCGGCAACCACTGCGCTTCAAAGTCCAAGGCACAAAGCCCTGTAGATGGAAAGCATGCCTGGCAAAGGCGCGGCGTGACGGAAAAACTCGCAAGGTGCAAATTTGCGGGTGAGGGCTCAGGATTCAAGGTTCTGGGTTGTTGGTTCGGGATTCTGGCTTCAGATACTTCGGCTTGCAGCTAGGTGTAGCGATTCGAAGAATGATGCAGGATTGCGAGGGCTGCGATTCGAGAAGCTAGCGCCTGCTTGAGGAGACCTCTCAGAAAGACCAGAGTTTTAAGAAACGCCCTTGTCTCTTCCGTTGCGAGATATCAGCTCCTATCCAACAGCCGTTACAGAGACAGTATCCCTATAATGACCAACCCTAACCCCACCCCCCGAACAAAAAAACAAACACGCACCAGTTGCCTTGGTTCCCTGCGCGCCAGGCGAGCTCCAACAGCGCCTGGGGGTTCGACCAGTCGGAGGATGGTTACGAGAAGGGTTACAATGTAGGGTGTATCAGGGCTTCGTTAGGGATTCCTCTAAGGGTTGCTGTGAGGGTGGGTTATTATACGTGTCCTTCGTCGACATTCGTCCCACTGCGGCTTCCTGTTCCCACGTCCCGGTAGTTCTATCGCGCCACCGGTGTTTACGGCTATGACTATCCGCCTTCTTAAGACCATGGGAAAAGCAGGACGATGATGATGATGATGATGATGGTGACGATGATGAGGACGGGAATGATGAGGAGGATGATCATTATTTGCCTTGGCGGTAATGGTGCTGATGGTAGTTGATGGTGGCTGATGGTCGCGATGGTCGTGATGGTGATAGGGGCTGCAGTGGCAAGGATAAAAATCATTAACCATGAGGCGGACAAGGCTGAGAATCAAAGATGACAACGACGAATTCCAAAACGAGTGGTTCGCAAATTACAGTACCTGACTGTTGGGGCAGGAAGGTGGGTCGTCCTTACTGTCTTTCTTCGGCTCCTCTGAGTACTTCTAATATCTTAAGTCCCGGAGCCATCAGCAAAACATGTGCCCTTCTGCAACCTACTGAGAGCTGCTTATAACCCCAATTAAGGTAGATACTTATAACCTTACTTACTAAGTCCTGTGATCCTCAAAACTAAGTGCCCTTCTGCAACCAGAGATCCGACCGCTCAAAGGGGAGAAGGAGGGACCCTTAGTGGGGACCCCTACCCTATGATGGGCTATATAATGGGTATGTTACCTAAGGGTCCTTATTAAGAGTCCCTCCTTTTCCCCTTGGAACCACAGCAACCACGGTTCCGAGGCTTAGTGATTCGGGCTCGGAGCTCTTCTAGTGCTCCGAGTGTTCAGGTTTATCAAATGGTAAAAGGAGGCACCCCTAATAAGGACCCCTAGGTATATACCCATAATATAGCCATCACATACCGATTATATAGCCCATCATAGGGTAGGGGTCCCCATTAAGGGTCCCCCCTTTCCCCCCTTTGAGTTCAGAGCTCCTAGGGCTTAGCGTCTGAGGATTGCGGCTTACAACTCGTCTATACTGAACTTAGAACCCTAGCAAAAATTAGAATTTTAGCTGTTTCTTAGGGATTATAATAACCAAAAATTAGAAAATTATGTCTAAGTACCCCTAAGTCGTGGGCTCGTAGGGTCGAAAGGTCAGGGCGTAGGTGCGAGTCTTCGGGGCGCTTAGGTATTCGGGTTAGGGGTGTACTTGGAGGATCATGGGACTTAGTAAGTATGGCTATAAGTACCTTAATTGGGGTTATAAGTAGTTATAAGTATAGTTACCCTAATTATAACCCTAGTTACTAAGCCCCATGATCCTTTAAGTACCACAACCTGACCTCAGAGAGAACTCCTCCCTGCATCTGCCGCCACGACTAGCTGCTACTCTTTGCGAGATGCATAGACTGTCGGCTGATTTGTCATTGTTGTGCTTGAGATCATGACAGTGTTTTTGTCGATGAAACTCTCCATCCACCACGGCGAGAAAAATCAATCACAGCACGCGGAATTCGTCCATAACTGCTGCCATCATAAACGGACGAGGCAGAGGCACCCGCAAAAAGAACAGTGTAGCTCTACAACAACCCTAAGAGCAGCCAAAGTACTGAAGACCCTAAGCGCCAGGCCAGCCTCCCTGAATAAGGATCGTAACAGGGGCGCTCTAAGTGAAAGGGATCCTTTGACAGTCTGCACAAGGAATGGAGTGTAGTACGGGGGCCTTAATAATTAGAATAGGGTTTGGGACCCCCTTTCTAGTATAGTTACAATAAAGGAACCCCCAAAATAGTATTAGTAATTATTCAAGCCCTCGTATCTACAGGCTTCCATGCTACCCTCTGTTGCCACAGCGCATCGTTGGTCCCCGCAAGGACCACGGCTGCTTCGGCGCCCGGGGCAGCATCTGCTCGACGTGCAACGGACGCGGCAGTCCATGCATTCCTGGGTTCAGGATCTTCATTAAACCCTGATATTCGGGCCTTGATAATTATAGGGTTTTGGGGCCCATTATATAACTATAATGAGGAACCACCAAAATAGTATTGGCAAAATTTAGGCTCCTCTACTAAACCCTAAAGTCCCAAAGGTAATACCTCAGACCCTAAGCCATGCAGCTGCCGGATCCAGACTGGCGGCGTGATCGAGACGGACTAGGGTTTAGGGTTCAGGCCCTTTGGCGTCGGCATGTTTGCATAAATCTTTGCTGGCCACGGTGGTTTCTCCAACACGGAATATGAGGCTCCAGTTCTCTTCGCAACTTGTAGTTCGGGCTTTGACGGATTCACGTGCATAAAGCCCTGAACCCTGCTTGACATGGAGTTGGAAACCCACACCCCGAACGTCTAGAAGCCTGTCAATGCCGCAAAGGCGGGAGGAGCCCATGCAGGGAGATTCATGGGTGATGTTGCACAAAGACAGCATATAGTAGATGACAGCCAATACACAACATCGAAAACATAGTACATGATGTAATATCATATGTGCATATACATATATAACATGACACTACATTCGACGTGTGTGTGTGTATGTATGTATCTACACATGCCTGCATGCATGCATGCTATATACATGCATACCTACGTCCATACATACATACATACACACACACATGCATACATACATACATACATACGTACATACATACATACATACATACGTTTATACATATATGTACACACACATGACGGCAGATAACATGCCGTACAGACAGCATATGATGTGGAATTTGCAGAATGTACAATGCAGAATATAGCGTATAAATATAGAATACAGAAAAAGACCATAGCAGCATCTGGAATATAGAGTACATGATACTGACACGAGGCGTTACCGTCGAAGGCCGAGCGATGGCAGAGGCAGTAAGCCACGGGGAGAGCAAGCGCGAGCGCGGAAGCTCGGAAAAGCGTGGCTACTACCCTACATTCCAAACCTGGCTGCCTAAACCCTCAACCCTAAGCCCTAACCTTTCCTGAAAAATTAATTTTAGTTGCATACTCCGTAAACCCTAAGCCCTAAAACAAGGTTTCCGCTCCCTGACAACCGAAAAAATCCTGCTGGAACAAGCGTCCTCCCGAAATTGCGGCATTCGACCCGAAGGCGTCGCTGCAGATCTGGCACCCACGGAGCCCCGTAGATGCCCTGCGAAGTCCCGGCCATCACGGTTCAGGTTTTGCTGTTTTAAGGACCCCTTCTCGTGTCTGCAGAGTTCAGGGTTTAGGGTCTAGGGTTTTGGGTTTGGGTCTTGCGCAGCGCCCTCAAACCCCGAGCAACCAGACGCCCTGAAGCCCAAACTTGGCAGATTGCAGGGTTTGACAATTCAACACGGAGCTTTGGAAATCACAAGCCCCTTGGGCTTGGAACTTTCAACCTTGCTCAAGCCTCAAGCCCTGCAACGCAAGCTGCACACTCGAACAACGAAGCCCCCGACCCTTACACCCCAAAAACCCCACCCCGAAGCCCCAAGCCTCAAGCCCAAGCCCTAAACGCCAAACCTCCGATGAATCCGGGAAAGCCTCGGTGTGGCTGTCGCCGAAGCAGCTGACCTGTGCTCTGCGGCACCGTAGAGTGGACGTCGGTAAGTACGGCAAATTTGCACAGATTGCATTGGTTCTATTATATATATATATATATATATATATATATGTGTGTGGGTGTGTGTGTGTGTGCAAAACTCTATATATATATATATATATATATATATATATATATATATATATATATATACATATATATAGGGTTTCGGATCGAGCCGCCCTGTAGCGGTATTGCCGAAGCCCCAGTGGGGAAGACCTCACGACGCCTGTGCCATTGCGATCTCCGCGGTGGCATCGAACGGCCAGGGCCAAGAGGCGAAGGGCACGCCTCAGGTTACATTCTGCGAGGAACCGAGGTTTCCTCCCTTGGAGCAAAGACTTGGCCCGACTGGAGGCCCACCACTCTGCTCCCAGATACCTACGCAACAAGGTACGGAGTCCCATGGGCAAGAACCAACCTCGCCGTCCTCAGCAACCACCATGGCGTGGAGAGGAGCAAGGCTACGGACAGGGCAAAGATGGCCGCAAATGGGACTACTGGCGTGGCTCTTATGCTGTGTCTCCTCGACAGGATCGACCTCAGCTGCCGCGGTACGACCAGGTTACCCTCAAGGAGGACCCGGCCACGAAGCCTCGCGACCCCCTTCCTGCCCCGTTGGCGGTTCCTGGAAGGAGTGCAGCGGACATGAGCGTTACACAGGCCATACAGCGCCCAGCGCGCACTCACGACTACAAGGAAGGCGGATGGAAGGATCCGCCGACTCCAAGAGGACAAGATCCTCAAGGCCAAGCAATGGGACCAATTCGTGGCGGACCAGAAGGCCAATTTTGTCAAGCAGCGACGACAGTACGAAGCGGATGTCAGCAAGATCGAGACGGAGCTCCTGCAAGCTGCCGAAGTGGGCAACGCGGCGGCGGAGCAGGTCAAGGCTTTGGTGGCCAATGGTGTGGCCGCCATCAAGGCCCCGACCCCGCGGGAGGACCCGGAAGCCAGCCAATGGGACCAGATCATGCGAGATGCTCTCACAGAGGCCGACAGTGGGAGCTTCTTTCAAGAGGCTTTCTCTGCTGCGGCTCACTTGGGCAGTGGCGGAGTACCGGGTTTTGGCTCCAACAATGCAGCGGCACCTCTGGCCGGCCTGGCTGCTGCCAATCACCCTGCGCCTACGTATGGACCGGCATCTCCGACAGCCAATCTGCCCAATCCCTACATGGGCAGCCCGGGTCCAACGACAGGACGTCCGGGTACGGAACCTGGGGATGTCAACAAGAACCCGGCAACGATGGTTCCACCGACGCCCCCGGGGACAGATTCCAGACCCCCGGGCACTGTACCGACTGGAGTGCCAGAAGGCGCCCATGCCAACAACGGCTTGCCAGGGCAGATGCCACCGGCTGGATATCTTCAAGAACACCTGGCTGCCAAGAGGGAGGAGCGGCGGTCAGCGATGCACCCCTTTGGAGTTCCTCCACAGGAGAAGCCGGCAGTTCCTGGGGAAGGAACTCCTCTACCTACGACCCCGGTTGGTCAGGGAACTACGAACGTCCCAGGCACACAGGTGATGTCAGTCGACGACGAGGAGCTCTCCAAGGCTGTGTCTTCTCCTGGGCTAGGCAAGATGAACTGACCCTCGCCGGATGCCCAGCCACAGTTGGGATGCACAGTCGACAGTGTGCGTTTTGCTGGTCTCGACAGGCTGGAGTGACTGACAGTAGGCAGGCCTCCCGGAGTCAATCGCATCGGAGACGCTGTGTTGGCAGACTGGTGAAGCATGGGCGGTGTGAGATTTCTTGGGCGAAATCTCCACTTACCTGCATCGTCGTCGGTCAATGCCCTCACATTGGATCCTTTGCGAGTGTAATCCGAGGAAGCCTGCGGTCTCACCCTAGCATCGCAGACGGGCCCCGGCCCCCCCTTATCTGTCTTCCTCTCGGCCACCTTAGGTGCTCCTTGGTCTCTGGAGTGCCCCTGGGTTGCCTTCTTCCACGGCCTTACCGGGTCTCGCTGCCAACAGTTTTACCGTCGTGGTGCCCTGCTGGTTTGGGTCCTGGGTTTGGACTTCCGAGTGGCAAGGTCACCTCTCTTCCTCTGTCTCCTTTAGGCACTGTCTTTTTGACCGTGTCCTTTGGGGGGCCCCGCCTTTCTTGCCTCCATTTGTTGAGGTACAATGCTGCATGTCGAGAGCGCAAAACACTTGTATCGGTTGCTCAGGGACAGGGGCCTCGACATGCGCATTTTCACACTACCCTGTTGTCACCCTGCATGGGCTCCCTCACAGCCATTCACGACTTCCTTCATGGAGTTTTGGTGCTTGGTGCGATTGGGCGGAACAGCAGGTGTGTTCAGCTTGGATCATCTTTGGAGCCCTGCTGCTTTCTACCTTCTTTCGGCTCGTCACCAGAGCTGCCGGACTTCACCGGACATTTGTCGGCAAAAGTCTCTACGCGGTCAGCCCACCTGCTGGTCCTCGCATCTGCCGACCGTTTCTTGAGGCTGCGGTTCCCAAAAATGCTGTGCTTGATTGGAGTCCTGTTCGGCGCAGCAAGCCCATCCATCGCACTTCTGGAAGCTTTGGTTGGGTTAGTCGGTTTCTCTTGGCGATGCTCTCCCTCCCGCAAGGGATATGGGCCATCCCTGGTGGCCAAGAAGCTGCACAGGCCACTACAGCTGCGGCTCTTGATCATTGGCCCGGGACTGATTTCCCAGAACCCCAACCTCCGACAGATCCTAGTCAGGAAGGCCTGTCCCTCGATACATCATGTCTTAATCCCGGGCCCGACAGGGAGGCGATCTCAATCCAATGTGTCCTCTTTGCCCCTGGCTTCCCCACACAGACAGTCCAAGTGTCTACCTCTTTTCCTGTGCAAGCTGCAGATCTGCTTCAGACTGTCGTTGCCAAGCTTGGGCCCTCTAGAGCCTACTTCGCGACTGATGTTGACTTTGTGGAACCGCAACTTGCCGAAGGGTATGTATCCCTTCTCCTCGTTCCACAATGGACTGCAAATTCTGGCACAGCTGCAGTTATCTTTGACTTCTCCGCTGTTGGCGGTCCCGTTTATGCAGAGTTGATTGACAGACGGCCCCAGCACTCCGAAATCATCGACCACGCAGCTCGACACACGTGCCAACCCTGGGATGCATTCCAGACAGGCAGCCATGCCCCACTTTGCTCCACCAAGCCCATCCACCTTGGGATACGCTGAAGTTTGTTGATGTATACGGGCAACCACATTGGCAGCCCTCCACTGCCTCTAGCCTCGGTGACCGCGAATTTCTGACTGCCGACATTCGTTGCATTGTCAGCGAAGATATCTCGGATCAATGGCTCATCACTGCTCCCCAGCTATCCCGAGTAGTCCTACACAGTGGTGCCTACGACGATGCCCTCCTCGCCCACGCAGCGTCTGCGCTACACTGCCGGCAGGAAACCATGTTGTCGTGCAAACCAGACAAACAAGGCTTTCCTGCCCTTGTCTATAGGGGGTCCCTTCTTGCAGGACTTGTTGCAGTTAGACAGGGTCACGAGCATGAGAGCACTGATGGAACGGTTGGTTCCTTTGTCTTTCTAGACTGCCGACCCATCGGCAAAGCACCAACTTCTTACTTCACAAGTGCACCCATTGTCACTGAGCAGGCTGTCCTTACATTCCTTGACCTCCGCCCACCCTTTGGGTTTAGGCCTGTCCTTTGTGGGCTCCCTAGGCTAGGTAATGCCTTCGTTGTCCACAATGGAGGTGTACTACAAGTTGACTACACACCGTCACTTGAGCATGATACCCCTCCTGCAGTTGAGGTCCTTGCCGAGACCCTTGCTCCAGTTGCCGCAAGAAATCCTTACCATGCGCCAGGTGGCTTCCAAGGTGTTCCCTGGCAGCGGGTTGGCGATGCCGCTAGGCCAGTCCATGTGCCAGCCCGCTACGATGATGAGGCCATTGTTCCCCCCCATGTGGACTACCATCGCGAACGGCCCACAGGTGCACCACCCCCGACCTTCTTGCATGGGCACTTCCTAGTCTTTGCTCCACGGTACAGAGCTGAAGTACTACCACTCGTCACGCGAGTCCCGTGTGACCCAGACGATGCCTTACATGAAATCCAAGACGCAAGGAATGAGGATCAGTCATTGTACTTTGACACGCTTTTACCGGTTGAGCCACAACCGGACAATCGCTTCGCCTGTGTCTTGTCTTTGCCTGAGTGGGCCGCTGACAAATGTCACGTCTTAGTTGACCTAAGACAAGTAGACGGTAGACTTTTCAGCATAGTTGTGCCCGCCCAAGTCACCCGAGCCTTTCTGCTTGAAGCTGTTGTCCTCGCTGATGACCCGAGGCTGCACGTCTTCTCAGCCGACAGATGGATTCCACCTGACCAAGAGGTCGTGCCAGAGAACGGAGGTTTATTAACTTTCCTCCTGGGCGGGCGACGACCTCTGCCACTTTACACCTTTGCTGAGTTGCTTGGCTCCGATCGCCATTGGGCCATGCCATGCCCGATGTATCCAGGGCCTATCCGCTCAGCTGTGATTGTCTACAACGATGCTGAGCCCCGTGTATTCTCGTATGAACCCAATCCCGCCCACACATTGCCTGAGCTACGGAGTCATGTCACTGGACTCCTAGGCTACAGCCCGACCGAGACTGTTGTTTATCAGTCCAGCCCCGCCATCGATGACGTTGAGCATGCCGGCCACACTTGCAAAGCAGTCTGTGTTGCTACCCAGCGTCTACACGGTGCTACTGCTGCCGAAGGGCCCTTGCGCCCTCAAATCATCATCATTGATGCGCGGCCAATCTTGCGGGACATTGAATGGGTCACAGCAGACCACGGGGTCCTCAACTTCGACAATCTCTGTGCGCGTTTTGAGGCTGATGCGCCACCCGGGCACGCTGTCAACATCCGAGGCGGCAGGCACGAGCTCCGAGCCGAAGGCACCTTTGTTCATGTTCCACAGGCAGGCATTCTGGTAGTCCAGTTTATTCCCGACTTCCTTGAAAACTCGTCACGCCACAGTGGAGAATCCTCCAGCGGATGTGGTGAGGATGACGAGGAAGAGGAATCCGACTCAACCAGTTCTTCCTCCGGTGAGCCGCATCGCCACGACACTGAGGGCGTCCCCCGCGGGAGGAGCCGATCCCCTCGTCGTGTGCCAGCAGCCCCTAACCCTAGGCCCGGAGCCAGGTCTTGCAGCCCCCCGCAGGAGGATCTAACAGCAGATGCCGCCTTTGATAAAGCATTTCTGCTCGCCGCTGCCCTTCACGGGTTATTAGCCCCTTGCACTCCCAAGTCCGATTTTGTTCCCCTTGGGTGTCTTCGGGATCTAGGCCCCGGGTTCTCTGCCTGCAAGCTCCCAGTTGACGCTGGTCCCCGCACAGTCACGCATGCCTTGCTCCGCCAGTGTGAGAGCAACGCTGGTTCATCCAACCGGAACACTGACAGCCAATCTCTCAGGCCTAGCAGCCGCCCACCGCCCGGCAGTCCTGCCCATTGTCTTGACAAGGCTGCTACAGCAACCGAATGCCTTCCTTTGCCGTTTGCTTCCAGTCGAGCAGTCACATGTCCCGCCAGCTCTTGCCATGATGTTTTGCCTGGCTTCTGTTGGGACATCCCTGTCCTCCTGAGCAGACACCTTTTCTCTGAGGTGAAAAGACACTCCTGGCTTACTGCTGCTGATGGGTGTAATAACCACACCGATCTTGCCAGGCTAGACAAGCACCAGTGCAATCTCGGAGACTTTAGTCAGTGTCACGCCCCCCACCAATGGCGTGAGATTCACGACGATGGTGGAACCGTCCAAGGGGCTACCGCTTGGGCTTACAATGCGCCCCCCGCCCGGGGGCACACTCCGCCTCTTGCCTCACTTGGCGATGCTGTTGCTGCGGAGTTCTCCGACACTCTCCGAACAGTGCCCTTCTTTGTTGCTGTGCCGGGGTATCAATTGCAGCGTGTCGAGGTCGAGCTGCTCGTACCAGCCGTTCCTGCTGAGGCCCTTGCAGCCATAAGAGAAGCGAGGTCTCAAACCGACCGTCGCCGTTTTCCCATACTGACCGCAGCCAGGCCACAGACAGTCCCAGGCGCAGGCATTTTGATTGCCGATCCGATGTGGGACGACCCGACACCCATAGTATGCATTGACACCGCTGCCATCGACGGACGGCTCTATGCGTCCAAGGCCCGCACATATGTCGACCGGTTCGCACTGCTCATGTTAGCTGACCTACCACTCCAGACAGATGTCGACATTTATGTTGGCACGGCCCTTTCGCCGCTCGCAGAGGGCGTCGAGCTTCATCTCACACATGGCGAGACCGTGTCTTTTGTGCGACGGAACTCCCGGCCCCCTCCACGGGATTCCTTTGGTGACATTCTAGGTGATCCCCAGTTCTGGAATGTGAGAGCATATGCCCCGCCTGTCGCACAAGATGGCAGCTACGGCATAATACATGACAGCCAAGGGATTTTGCACCTGCCAGGCAGCACTCCCCCCACCCAATACAGACGGCACATTGCAGCCTGCATTGGCGCAAATGAAAGTCGACTCAGGCTGTTTCCGGCATCGCCTCGAGTCCGAGATGCTGTATTTGTCGGATATGCCGTCCGCACAGTTGTTGCTGCAGCAGAACTTGGAGG